GGATGTCGTAGACACTGCCGCTTTGCCTTTTCACCTGATTTATTTATCACATGTTGTTGTTGTTGTTGTTGTTGTTGTTGTTGTTGTTGTTGTTGTTTGCTATCTGAATGTGGTCTCCTTTCCCTTTCCCGGTCCACAACTTTGTGGCTCTGTGATGCAGAATCTGCTTTATCTAATGAGAATCTGTCTGTTTGCGCCGATTCATCCAATTCAGCCTCCTGAGGACAAAGCCAGAGACAAGGAGAGCTTTTCCAACCGTCCTCACTTCCGATTTGCTTGTCATTCATCTAAAACATTGGCAAAACAGTTGTGATTACTCTCTTTGCCACGCTAAAAACAACATAATTCATTAAAATGCATTAAAATTCGGATATATAATGCCTCGTTTAAGCGAAGACTTTGGACTGCTTACCAAACGGCACCTTGTACTAAGCTCCTGGCTCTTGTGTGTCCTCCAGAGATTCGAAAAGTGCCCTGAATCTGAGTCAAACTAAAGCAACTTGAACAGCTGTTTTGACAGTAAGAATACGTTTTTATATTCACAATTAGTAAGTTTCCTGATGTTAGCAAATCTGGAATTATATATGGCATTTCGAAGCCTACTTTTATTAATATGGAGAATTTCACTGCCAATTTGCTACCAACATTTATGATCTAGGTTGACTACATTTGTACTGATAGGACCAAACCATTTTAATTACGAATTAACTTTGCTTAGCCGATTGCAATATAAAAAAAAGCTTGTCATATCAACAATCCCGTAGAAGTGTGAAATAGATGAGTCTTGGCTTGGTGACTGTGAATTGTGACCCAGTAGTACCTGTGGCTATGTAGAGTTGCTGATGTTGTCAAGGCGAAATCGAGGCTGAAGTCCAGCCTGAAAAAAAAACTTTGTGAAATTCAATGTAATCTTGTCGAATAATCAAAATTTAATTACCATTCCTTTGGCATCTTATGCGACCTATGTTGACTTGTTGCATTTTTTAGTCGAAACCTGCTCTTTAGCGTAAAAATCCGTGGAGGACAACAATACATAAATCAGTTATATGAGATGTATTCACCCTATTTCGTGTAAGGTGATGAAGAACTGGTAGTTGAATTTCCCCACAATTATGTGAGTAGAAATGATGTTTTCCTTTCCCAAAAGTTTTTCTCATCCCGATTGGGGTGGACTGCAGTTTCAACCTCGCATAGGCTTAGTCAACACACCCAGCGGGAGTCGAACCATGACACTGTAGAACGTGAGCTTGACAGGTTAACAAT